CCCCCCTCCCCTCGCACTGGAGAGAAAAAGAGACAGCCGTAGAGGGGTTGCTTTCCAATACAGTGAATTTATTATATGTTGCAAAATCAGCACTCAGCTTTTTAGTGTACAAAAGGACACTAACTCTTTTAAGAAAAGACGAGGCAAGCTGAAGACTCTGCTGCTGCCTTGAAATCGTAACATTTTGGCAAAGTGAAAAGCTCTTTGTAAACTCCAACTCCATGGCTCAATATAGTTGTATCCACAGTACAATATTACAAAGGAAAACACGGGATCAATAAGTTAGATCAGACTTAGGTCACCTACAACTGGTTTCTATTAACCCAAAAAGCACAAAATTTGCCTAGCTTCATAATAGCTAAAAGGAAAAAAAGAAAAAAAAGAAAAAAGGAAAAAAAAGGCATATTTGACTACGTTTCTTTAACACAGTCCAAAAAAAAGTGAAGCAGAAAATAGATGAATGCTAATTGGGTCTCACAGTTTGGATATTCATTAAATATTTTCAGTTTTATATTCCAATTTTTAGAAGTTCCAGAATATACATGTAAATGTACACAATACATCTCCGTATACAACTCTGTTTGCAAAAATATCTTATAGCAGGTGTATAAAGACTGAGATCCATCTCTATTTCCTTCCTTCCAAAAAAACCCCAACCCTCCCCCCCCAAACAAACACCCCCCACAAAAATTGCAAACCCCCCTTTCCAAACATGAAGGAGCAGAACGAGAAGTGTTTCCACGGAAGAATCTGTTCAGCTCGGGGGCCGAACGGCTGCCTCTTCGGCCACTCGAGGTCTGTGGTTCCTTCTGCTCGCGGGAGGAAACGGACCTGGGCTCGTTTGTACAGATACCGACTCTGCTGACAGATGCGTGCCACCACCACAAGCCAGGCTCTGGGGACTTCAGGAGATGCTGCCTCATGGCACAGATCTCATGCTGTCACCAGGAAGGTGCGGCTTCCTGCCACCACAGAGAAGGCTGGTGCTGACCAAGCCTGGTGGGGAAGCTCTAGTGGCATGCCCAAGGGACCACAGGAGCTTTCCAGGCACAGACCTTACGTCTGCAAACAAGGGGGAGGGAGCCCTGGAGCAGGGAGGCAGTGACACATCTGAAATCCAGTGCCGTCCATGTGGAGGTGGGGCGGCAGGGCTTTGGGGCCTGACAGGAGCAGGATCCAAGCGCAGACAGGGATGTTGGGGGCCCCCCCCTGACGCTGGTGCTAGTGAGGAGCAGCAAAACCCAAATGCCACCCACGCCTGCCAGATTTAATGTGCAGGGGGGGATATGCAGACCCACCCTGCTGGGACCGCAGCTTTCGCTTGGAATCAACTCTCCTCGCCACATGGAAGCACCCAGAGATGTGAAATGCTACGGACAGACAGCTGGCCCCTATGCCCGGACCTGCCTTCCCCTGCCCTACGCGGCTCCCACAGGCTCTCGGGACAGGGGAATGGTGCGAGCCAAGTGTTCCTTGAGCCTTCAGATGCTTGCTAGGACTTTATCCTACGGTGTGATCTGGGGGAGGAATAAATGGCAGGGACCAGACTGCTGTAGGGAGCAGAGAGCACTGTGGGCCCTTCTCTCTCCCAGCTCCTCACTGATCCCCTCACTGTCCGGCCTTTGCGATGCCAGCTGGAGGGGCTCAGTGGCCAGCTGGCTGTCCACAGAGCATGGCTGGAGAACCACCGTGCTGGGGCGAGCATGCTCAACATGGCTCGAGCCGCGGGACATGCTCTCTTCGGCACTCATCCATCTCTGACAATGGAACGCCCAGATCCTGGGGGAGGGAGTGCGGGGTGGAGACGCACTAGGATCCTGCTCAGGTCTGGACAAGGCAGGGAACAGAACACCAAACACTTTAGAAACTATGTACAACTCCAGCAGCAGCTGCCCCAGGCAACAAGCCAACAGACCTCACTGCAAGAGCTCCATCTCTGCGGAACTGTCGCACCTGATGGACTTGCGGCCCCGGGGACAGTGGAACAAAGCGAGTCTCTGACCACCCCAGCTAGCTTCCTTCCTCCTCCCTGCCAGTGCTCTGAGGCAGTGAGCAGGACCCTCGGCTCTGAGCAACGTGGAAGAGGGAAGGAACGAAACACTGCAGGGCTGGCAGGAGCAGAGTGGCATAGACTGTGGTACAGAGGGCACCCTCTGTGCTTGTGGGCTAGTTCTTCATGCCACCAGAGAGAAGAGACTGCAACACAAAGCCGCAGGGACAGAGCACGAGCGCCAGGGACTGCCATGGACATGCAACCTGGCTGCCACGGCAGGCTCAGGCACCTGCTCTGGCGCCCGACTCACTGCTGCAGCTTCTTTGGAAATGGGCAAAATGGAACAAAACAGAACAGAACAGCACCCATCCGAGCCCCTCCGGCAGGTCATTGCAGTAACAAAATAACTTATCTGGGTAGCTACCAACCAGCGTTAGTAATACTGCAGCGAGAGACAGGACAGGTTTGGAAACACTTGGCCTAAAAGGAAAAGGGAGGCACAGGTTTAGAAAAGATGCTCTTTTTTTTTTATACAAAAATAGACCATAGTCTCATTAGCAATTAATAAAATTGGCTGTCTCAGTATAAAACTAGAAAAAAGTCAGACGGGCAGGTCTCCGGCTTCCGGCCTCTCACACCGCAGCGGTCGGCCCAGTCTGCGCCACCCGTTCCAAGCGTGCGCTGCAGGAAAGCTTCCAGGTACGAGGCATCTGGCATCAGCACTAGACCCCGCGGGCAGCGCAGTCTCCTCCGACCGACACCCGCCCCGGTGGGCGCAGATTGGACAGGACGATCCAACTCAACCCCCCAGGACTCACGCTGCTCGTGTGCAGAACTCATGCTGCTGGCACAGGAACAGTCGAGGTGCCAGAGGAGGAGGTGGCAACCTAGCAGCATTCCAGTTCCTCGCCATTTGCAGAACAGAACGGGCAGTGCCGGGCTGGGACAGCTCCACGCCGCTCCAAACCTGAATCCGAGAAAACCACCAGCTCTTTACCTTTGGGAGTTGCATTTGCCTGGGGTGAGTTTTCCCTTAAGTGTCAAATGCTGGCTTCAAGAAATAAAAAAAAAAAAAAAACAGCA